GTAAATATGGGACACTATTTTCCTACTGTCATTTGCCCATCTGTGAAGTTGGATTTTAACTCTTAAGTCACACTTGATTACTAGTAAACAATGTTAATATCTTCTGAGCTATAGGTGTTTGAAATCTTACTTGTTTGTGTTTAACCAAGGTTTATGTTTTTTAATTCTCCTAGGATTCCTACAGGAAGCAAGTAGTAATTGATGGAGAAACCTGTCTCTTGGATATTCTTGATACTGCAGGTCAAGAAGAATACAGCGCAATGAGGGACCAATATATGAGAACTGGGGAAGGCTTCCTGTGTGTATTTGCTATAAACAATACAAAATCTTTTGAAGATATTCACCATTATAGGTGTGTATGTTGAAAGATAATCGGCTGACACGTGTATTGGGTGGGTAGATTGTGTGCTCGTTCTGGCACTAGATAATGGAATGATCCCTTCTGAAAAGGCATCTGAGGGGAAGCTTGCAAATTAGCAACATTGCGATTTATTCCTGCATTTGTAGGTCTGTGATTTTTTTTTGGGTGATCTGAAAATCTGCCTCCCTTTCAAGTTAGGGAGACAAAATATCTGGAAGCTCTTCTGTTATAAACTAAAGTGGCTTAGTATTTCTGCTTGTTCATGGTGAAGGCTTATCTAAAGGTTAACTCTGCCCATTCCATAAATAAAATCGTGTGTTAAGATGGAGAAACTTAGGCAGTCGAAATTATACAAACAATAACGTCGATTGTTAGCCTTTGTTCTGGGAGTGGAGGGGAAATACCTGTGGAATGTTACTAGAAGACTAACGTGTGTGCACTGATGCCTGTGGAGGAAAGACACAAAATCTGAGCTCTGACTGCTAAAAAACCAACCCGTTACTAGTTTCGTCACGTGGTGGTTTTTCTTTTGTTTTTAAATAATTAGTTAAAAAACTTTTAACTAATGCTTTCTTTGTCAGCTATGCTAGTATAGAAATAGAAGCAGTCTCTACTGATTTCCATACCAGATAATTATTATACTGAATTCTCCTTTGGTGTTCTGTTAGAAGGCAATGCAAATCCCACCAAAGATCCCTGAGTTTAGCAGCATCAGTTTATTAGTCCCAAACACAAAATGTTGAACTACTCATAGTTAGACATTTATAATGCTGTCAGATCTATGTTGCTATATGCTGGAGGTGTGGTTTGCTGTCAGTATCGCCCACAAACCCAACATGTACTCCTAAGCTGAAGTTGCACATTTTTGTTACTTACAGAAGTTACAGTTCTTCATTTAAGGTGGGATACTGTGTCAGTTCAGGGTAATTCACGTCAGGAGGAACAGCTGCCCTGATCATGTCATTTCATTTTCTCCTGTGTGACAGCAAATCAGCTCATTTGGTTGTGCAGTGTGCTTATGTGAGCAGCTAAACAGGTAGATGCTTACCTACAGAAGTAGTTTACTACTGGCCTGTCTCCCTGGAGCAGCTGCAGGATCAGGGGAGTACTGATGAGAGGGGCAAAATTGAGTACTAAATGAGAGGGGCAAAATTGCTGTGTACTAGCCCAGGGAGAGATCAGTATTGAGAATGTGGGCACTTTCTTTCAGGACTGTTACTTTCTATATTTAAAGAATTATTTCAAAGAATGTTGAATGGTGGGGTTTCTGCTGTGCATTCACACACCTGTGGATGACCTTGTGAACTGATGCTGAAGGCTTATAAACAAATAACTGAAAACAGTGACTGTATTAATTAAGGAATATACTGCTTGATTATTTGAGAAGGCAAAAATAATTAAATGAATGATTGTTATTTGAGATTCTTGACAAGTACATCCAACTAGTATTTCAAGATGCTTTCTAACTAGTGTTTGAAAGGCCTCCTTTAGCAAATTGCTTTTTGTAGAGAACCAGACCAATGGTCTTCAAAGTTTAAACACCCCTATCTAAATGAAGAGTTTGTAATGCTGTCTTTAATTAAAAGAAAAACAAACCAAAAAACCCAAACAACAACAACAACAAAAACCACAAAAATAAAACCACCCTGAAAACCAAAGGAAAATTGAGACAACAGGCATAGCACTTTTGACAGTGTTCTATCTAGGCAAGTGAGTTGAATATTGTGAGTACTGAGTGTGAGAGATAACTAGTAAGATTTATACCAGAGCTTCATAGGTTTATTCTGGCATTAGCTGTTAAAAATTAAAAACAACAACAACAAAAAGATAAAAAAAATAGTATAATGACATCAATATCTATAGTAATTTGCAAAATGTTAACTTAAAATTTTTTTAAAATAAGATAAACTTGATAGTGACAGGATTGGTTAGTTTATTTTTTGATGGCTTCTAGTAGTGCATGTGCAGTAAATTAACATTAAGAATGATGTTGGAGTCTGTTAATTTAATTTTATTTCATTGTTTTAAAATCTATATCACATAAACTATTAATATTAATACCTGTTACATAAAATCTGTCTCTTTTTTTCCTTCTCTTTAGAGAACAAATAAAGAGAGTGAAAGACTCTGAAGATGTCCCAATGGTGCTAGTAGGAAACAAATGCGATTTGCCTTCCAGAACAGTAGATACAAAACAAGCTCAGGATTTAGCAAGAAGTTACGGAATTCCTTTCATCGAAACATCAGCAAAGACAAGACAGGTAAAGCTCAAAACTTGCCAGGCACAAACGTAGAACTCTGATCTGAATTATCATAAGGATAATTATTCTGGGCATTGACAATCGCTTGGTCGTATCAATGGTTAAATTTCTCCAGAGTGCAAATTCTTGTGGTGTCTTTTCTTTCTGTCAGCTCATTGACAACTGGTAATTGTTCATTAATGAGTGATTCGCTTCGGTTGCGCAAACTCAGAGGATGAGATCTGGGCTGCTTTTCCTCTCTGCTGTCAGATGGTTGCATCATTCTTAACGTCATGATAGGTTTTAAGAGAATAAGAAGCACTCTGCTTAGAGGTGAAATGCTTTTTTTCCTCAGCGAGAGCATTAAGCAGACAAACAGCAGTAGTTTATTCTGGTTTAAGTCTTTTCGTTAATAACAAAAGGAATTTTTCTGTGAGCCATAGATTCAGCGTTAGTGGGACATGCTCGACACACCTTTTTATAGCTAAGCAATTGACCATAAGTATTTTTTTAATTACTGGATTAATTGCTCATGTAAACTGATACTCTTCTAAGACTTCAGAGCTCCCTGTTGGTTTATTGTTCCTCACTGGTATAGGTGAAAGATGCAGCCATTTTAGGGTCCTTGCAGTGCTTCTCAGGGTTTGCTAGGACAAAGGTGCACATAGTGTACATCTGTGTATTCAGGAGAAGGTCAGCTATACAGGTCTAGATGAAACTGGTTCTGTGCTTCTGGAAGGAAGCGTTTGCTTTGAAAAATGCTGATTTGTGGTTTTTCTTTTAAGAGTAAATACTTACTATCAGTACAGATTAGGTCAGGCCCGAGTGGCTGAATAACTCATACTCTGCATAATGAGAAGTGTTACATGCAAGTTACAAATCAGGAGTTAGGTGCAGCAAAAGGAGGCAAATAAGAGCAGAATACTGCAGTTTGAGTAACTGCTCAATGTAACTGCTAAACAGATTCAGCTGCATCACTTGGCAGAATTTCCTCATAGACAGTATGTAAGTTATTTTTGGATATAAGAAATGAATATTTTATTAGTGCAAATTTGCTACACCAACCCAAGTTTCTGACAAGTTGAAACCTGGACTAATTAGTAAAACTTTACAGAGGAATCAAAGGAAAGTTAACTTTTGGCAATAGAGAAAGTGTTTGTCAGGTAGGATTAAAAAACCAGACCTACGCAACTTTAATGGCTGAGAATAAATTAGGCCACAAGAGTATTCAGAGGAATGTGGCATAAGCGGACCGAGTAATTACAGTGTTCGTGTTCGGAAGGTCCTATATTAGTGGCTGTCACTGAGATGTTAGGATAGAAAAGGAGGAACTCTGAAATTACATTTGAGGTTTGAAATAATAGAAGTTCTGTAGTAACGTCTAGATTTTGCTTTGTTCAGCCTGCTGTATAGAGCCTCAGGCTTTGTTTAGGAAATGTTCCTCTTGCATAGCCACTTTTAATGAAGGTATGTTGATATGATGGTGCATTTTCGAAGATATCTCCTCCTCACCCCACCTGCAATCTGCTCCTACGAGCAGCCCCACTCTACCTAGCCAATACAAAAGTGCATGCTCAAAAGTCACCGTTCCTGTTCAGTTTTATAATCCTTGTTTACACAAACTAGTATCTGCTTTTTTATCTTTCAGACTTTTAAGAGGTCTGCTGGAGGTTTGTACTTGTTTCAGAGGACAATAGATCAGTCATATATGAACTGTTATTCTATTATTTGACTACTTCTATCTGTGACTTTGTTTCTGGAGGTGCCAACTGAAATGTAGAAGCGACTGTTGCCTTTTGTTGTTCAAAGCTGAGCTTTACACCTTCCACAAAAAAGGAGTCCCTTAAGGGATCTCGTGGATTTTAAAATAAAGATATCCATTCAATAGACTCTTCTGAGAATGCTGGCTTCTAAAAGTTGGAACCACTAGGTATGGTTGCTGATCCTTATGCAGTGCTTTTTGTAACATGTTATGTTGTGAAACTGCTTCATAAGATGCTGTGTTAATAAAATATTTTTGAGAAGACAAGAGGGAATTGGAGGAAGACCCTGATCTTTAATTACAGCAAGATCATCTAAATATCTATGTATGTGTTTGTGTATGTATATAGGTGCATACATATGCATTTACATGGTATGATTTTTCAGTCACATTGGCATATGTTTAACATATATGCATACATATATACACGCCATCTTCCAAAGTAACTTTTTAAATTAGGAGATTTAAACAATCTTGCGAGCTGTCTGTGGCCTGTGGGCTATTTTTATCGGGCAGAATTCAGTCCTTCACTGAAAATAAATAAATAAATAAAAATCAGGTCCTCTCTGGTTACCTGCAGAACTTTTGAGTATGAACAAATGTAGCTGGTGGCCTGGTAACTTCAGGAGTCTGTAGAAAGTCTAACATGAATACTTAGAATTAGAAATACTGAGAAGTAGGAACCTTCTTTTCCTTTCCTGTATGCACTTGGCACTGCGCTGAAACGTCAGCACTAATGCCCTCTTTAAGGGGCCCCCACCATCTTCTTCCTTCCTTCCCCGTGCACCAGTTCTGCTGGAACTCGGAGAAAGTGAGAAATGTTTCTGGGGAAGAAAATGGGAGGTGGAAATGGAAAGGAGTTGGCCACGTAGTCTGTTTTGATTGCCAAGACGCTGTTTTTAAATGATGGCGTTTTATGCTCGTACAGAGTGATATCTCAGTTCCAAATAATTCCGTTTTTAAAATGTAAAAAAATTCATAGACAAGGTCAAAAATAAGAAAGATGAAAAACACTGAAATGAAGTGCAGAAATAAGTTGTTCTAAAAGTTAGTGGTTTTGGTTTTATTTGGTCCTGGCTGATAATAAAGATGTAAACTTTAACTTACTGCAAAAAGGTCACGTTTTGAGCCAAATCCCTGTGTGAATTTTCATGCAAATCATTGAGTGATCAGTGAAATGTTAGCTTAGTGGACCTTACAACTTTGGTATAAGGCTGTAGACTTTTAATTAGACCGCTGACTGAAATGAATATAATGTAATTTATGAAAATAATCCTATTTTTAAATGTGAACACGTCAATACTAGTGGTTTTGTAAGGCATGTTGCATCACTTCTGCTCATCCTTTCACAATCCTTATGCAGAAGGGTGTGAATTTCTTAGGTTTATTTCGATAGCTGTTCTCACTTTTCTCTGTTTGACATAAGCTTTAAATTCAAATTCTTCCCTGTCCTCATGAGTATATAGCTTCCAGTACTGTTGGTGGTATCAATGAGAGATGAAAGGCAGACTTGATTGACCCTCACTGAGGCTGCATCCCATATTCTTTATTGGGCTTCCATTTGCCTGTGACTTACACCAGGAAAAGCTGTGTAAGGCTGTACCCTAAATGTGGTTTGGCTGCAGGATTTAGTTTTCCTTGAAACATTTCAACTGTCCTACTAGTATTGAATTCAAAGGAAAAGCAGATACATGGGCATTATTGTAAGAATAGTAAAAGATTCTCCAAAGCATTAGGTCTCTTTGTTGAGAATACGTACTTCAAAAGTGTGCTTAAGTGTTTCATGAAGAAGTCGACCTAAATCACAAGGATGCTGTTAAAAAAGCATTGTAGTTATTTCAGCTGTCCAATGTACAATAGGTTAGGCTCCAAAAGTAAGTTGAGAACCTGTGCCTGGTCTGATGAAGGAATTGGTGCATTATTTACAGAACTTTATTCCTACATCTCAATTAAGATTCATGAATAACTGATAATTTAGATGGTTTGCTTGAATCAACTTGCCTTTTTTTTTTAGAGATTTGTCGTAACTGTTCAATGATACTGTATGTGTTTCACTCCAAGCCTTTTTAATGTAGTTCATGTGCACAAGTTCCATTTTAAAACTTTATTTTCAATTACTTACAACTTTTTCAGACTTCACAGTGTGAGTTGAGTTTTTTTTCCGTGTCATTCGTTTGTTGTAACGTAAAACTTTTCCAAAAAAGTTTAGTCCTTCCCAAGAACAAGGCCCCAAGGAAAAAAAAAAAAGTTTTGATAATGTTGAAACAAATTCTGGCGTCCGACTTGTGCACTGAATGACTCCAGAATGCAGAGAAAGCAGGTTTGTTATTTACCTAATGTAAAGTTAAATAGGTGTGGCAAAAAAAGGATGTGTGTGAAAAAGGGTGAAATTCAGGTAGGACAGACAGATATAATTCTGGCACTTGTTAACATTGCAGTGGTTAACTTTGTAGCTTTAATCATGATTTTGTGCCGTATTTAATATGAATTTACTGATATATGTCTGGTATTTAACTATCATAAGGTAGCATGATCAGCTTAGCACTCCCTTCCTTTCCAAACCTGTGGAGGTTCTGCATGGGGCTGAGTTGTAGCTATTTCCAAACAGTCCTTTGGAGTACATCTGTTTTACAGACAGCAAAAAATTAGCTTTAGCCTATTAAGCTGAGTGTTACATGACCTAGTAGATCTTTGCAGGTTTGTGTATTCTCCAGTATTGGCTAAAATGACCTTACCACTACAGAGTTTTATGTTGGGAGTGCTTTTGTGCAAGTGAGCAGCATTCTTTTTTCTTGTGTTCTCATGAGTAATTTTGATTTTATTTGTCTAACAGTTGGTTTTAGGCGACCGACTCCAATAAAGTGTTTGAAGGTGATCACAGAATGCTTTTGAGATGTCAAGGCTAATTTTCATTAGTTTCCTTTAAGCGCTATTTACGGAAGCAGAACATGTGGAAATTCCCATTTGTACTTCGGTGTGTATTTGAAATAGTCTTTGCACATAGTCATATTTTTAAATCGAATATTTGGCTGTCTCCTAGGAGTCAAAAGCATATTGAAAATATTGCCTCGAGGTCATGGGTTCTTTGGGCTGTTAAAGTAAATAGCTGTTTAGATTTTGAAGTTTTTAGTATCTACCAAAGGATATATTTGCTTCTGGCTCTGACAGCTCAAAGAACTAGTTAATCTTATTTTAGACACATGGTCTGCGCTCATTTAAGGATAAAGTACTGAAGAATCTTAAATCAGTATTAAAATGA